GCCTGGCAATAGTTGTTCTTTCTTTTTAGCAATCATTGCGCAGGTTTTTCGAGGTTTGATTTGGCAGTGCAGCCAAGCTTGGACACTACACCAGCTACTATGTACTGATCTCTGTGTGTGTGTAGATATATCTATGTGCCTTTTGGTATATAAGTAGTTAAATGTTTTTATCTGGTTTTGGTAAGTCTCTTGTGACTGGCGTAGAATTCGGGTATTTTCTTTAAATTAGATTTGAGTTGATGATGGTATTTTATTATTATTTATTTATTTATTTATTTATTTATATAGTATTTGTAAATGTAATGTAAATTATATACAATAAATGTCTATGCTCCAATTGACTTTGGTATATTTTTTTTTTAGCTTTTAAAATTGAAAAGTAGTTTTTGTTGTATTAAAAGCACAGAAATAATTATTATAAATATATTTCATATTATTACTTTTATTTATTAAAATTTTAGATTGATTTTATAAGGACGTGCTTGGAAATTCAAAATCACATTATTATAGAATCTGTATATTAAATGTTGTAGTATTATTTTATATTAAAAATATTCAATATATTAATATTCAACATATAATATAAATATTAAATATATTAAAAATATTCAATTTAAATATTTGACATATTTTTCTAAATATTAAATTGGTATTAATAATAAATATTTGACATATTTTTATAAATATTATATTGGTATTAATATGTATATTATATTAAAAATATTACATGCATAATTATTCTTCAATATCTTACATTTTTTAAATATTGATAATAATTCTTAAATTAAGTTCCAACACAATAAATGGTTCGCTTTTTTTTAGATCAATATTTCCTCAATTACCTGCTGAAAGCTGTAACACGAAAATGTTACTTTAATGTGCCACGCCCATTAAATGGTATTTTATGAGTGCGCCTGTCTTGGTCCTCAAGACGGGACACTTGCATACTTTCGGGCCCAGCTAATTGTGGCAGCAGCCGAGGCGCAGGCACGCGCCAAGTGCAACTGTTTGGGGCACTTGAACCATTTTCCATGTGCTCGAAACTTTTGCAATAAAATTCGTTTCAAATTGCCTTTGAACAGAGCGTTGGTCGCTCGACTGCTGAAGTGTGCTGGAGAGTGGATAGAAATTGGGTAATTGGTAACGCAAGCTAGATGTTCTATATTTGCAAAGTTGTCAACGGGATGCGGCTGGGAACGGGGCCAAAGTGCACCCCGGGGGGCATTCGGGCCCGGGTAAATAAATATCAAATATATTGAGAGACAGAGAGAGCGAGCGGTCGCGCAAAAGTTAATTACATTGTGTTAACGGGCCGACTAATTTTGTAATTCTGTTTCTGAATCATTTAACCATGAAATTGGCTGGCCAGCCACGCCCTGACCGCCTGAAACGCCCCAGCCGTCCAAACGGCTAACGCCCCCAGACCTCAGCCGAATGATAGTCCGCAACGCATTAGCGCAGTGGTGCCGGGTGGTGCAGGGTGGTGCCGGGACGAGTTTACAGCTCAAATGTGAAAATTAGTCTTTCAACTGTTTAGCAGCTTACAGCCTGAGGCCCCTTCAGCACCGACCGACATCCGGCAGGACTCCACCCGGCCCCAGCAGCATCACCACGCCCACCCCACCAGCCCTTGACAGCTGGCACGAAATTCATATCGAAAGTTTTTGGGAGTCTGGGCTGAACATTTTGAATATTTTGATTATACATATTACATATTATTATTTTTAATTCCTGTGGCTTTTACACATAAATTAATGCAATTATATGTGCCACAGGGGCTGGCCATGTGGGCGTGGGCGTGGCCGCAGCTGTGTGTGCGCGCCTGATTAATTTCCACTGTCTTTTGATGTTAGCAGCTGGCCCCAGTGGCATTGTGGCAAATGGCATTAGCGCGCAAATAAATTTAATTAAATCATTTGCGCTCAACTCTGTTGTTAATAAATTCGCCGTACTTGTGTATTCGCGTCTCCCACTGTGGGTGGCCCAGTGGGCGCAATGACAAGCTGGCCGTAAATTTGTATGAATTATTGGTAAGTTTAAGAGTTTAAGTTTGCCCACACTAAGATATTGGTAATTGATGAGATCAAAGCATGAGTTGTCTCCACACACCCATGGGCAAAAGCAAGGCTTTAAGGAAGTTGAAAGTTCACAAAAACTTAAAGTTTCTTCAAAGTCTAGGCATATTTATTGCATACACAAAAACCAAAAGTTCTTAAGCCTTTATTTATTGTAAATAATTAAATTGTTTGTCAAATGGTTTTTCAAATATTTTAAGTAAATACAAATATTTTAATAAATATATGCAAATGAATATTTTGTTGATTTTCGAATATTTGTTCTCACAGATTTTTCATAATTATCCTTAAAGACGTTGACATTCTTTGTGATTTGACAGTAAGCTCCAAATGCCAGAGCCAAAGGCTTTTCTGCTGCTTAGCTCCAAGCTGGGCTGGCCCAGCTGGGTTGGCCAAAGAGCGTATCTGGCTGCGATACACAGTGCGTATGCGTAATAAACAAAACAACTGCAGATACAATGCTTGCCATTTCGATTCAGTGTGCGTGTGCGCGTGTTCGTGTTTGTCCCTGTATTTGTCTCTGCTTTATTTGAATTTACTGCCAAGCAGCCAACACACAGTTGAGCTTTGCTACGCCACTGCCATCCATATACACATACATACGCATACACATATACAAACATACATATATATATAGTGCGAGTCAGTGTCACGCCTCAGCCACTGTCTCATCTGCAGCCACAGGCACGCTTACGCCCCCCACTCCCCACGCCCCCACGCCCATCACTGTGGTCCCTGGGCAGACATTGTGCCAATGTTTGGCGTTTGCCTCTGTTGAATAATAAATTGTATTTTGCGGCATTTAAAAGCAATTTTTTAACATTTTTCAATCTCAATGGCGACGATGAAATCCCGACACACGCACACATTCATAACGAAGCGTGCACACAATACATACCTCACTGTGTGTGTGTGCGTATAGCCCATGCAGAGATGAAGCCGATTGAGCCGATGGAGCCACTGCGTGCGGAGCCTGACAGTATACGTGTGTGTGTGCGTGTGTGTGTGTGTGTGTGTGTGTATTACAGCATACACAACACATAACGAGCCGAGTTGCTGCCATTCCGGCCGCCTTGTGCGCCACAGTTTTGTCTAGCAATTTCGCAGTGAATTGTCCTGGGAGCTCAACCGAGCCAGCCAAGGATGTCAAACGGCAGCAGTAGCAGTAGCAGTAGCAGGAGTAGCAGGAGCTGTAGCAGTAGCAGTAGCACTTGCAACATTTTTGGAAATGGAGCTGGCGGCGCTACATGATTCTCTGCATTTGGTTAAGCTTGGAGTGAAGACAGCAACGATTCGGCAGCAAAACAAATTGCAGCATTTAAGACCTCTGTCCGTTTGTCTCTCGCTCTGTTCCCATCTCCCATCTCCCATTTCCCATCTGCCGCCTCCTGCTGCCCTCTCCCCCACGCTTTATTTATCATTTGTATCTGTGCGTGTGCAACGCCAGAAAATTGCTGAAAATTTTGTGGGTGGCTCGGCAGCTTTGCATAAAGTTTGATTAAGTGTGTAATCTAGGCTCCAGCCGCACCACCCACCCACACACAGCTGCATCGGCGGTGCATGTTCGCTGTGTACTTAGCTTGAGTCTAGCCACAGCATCAGCAATGCGACCGAATTGCAATTTATGTAATATTCAGGCTTTACAATTTACAATTATCCATTCGATGCTAAGCAACTTTGTTAAGCTGTTTACCCGGAGCCTAATTGGGGTTAAGCCGAGATCGATCGATTGCTGAGTTATGGCTGCAAGCTAAACCAAAAACGCTCTGCATTGACTGGAGACAACTTTGATTTATTTTGCTGGTAATGCTCATATATTGGTATTGCATTTAGTTCGGACCCGAGCTCATTACTTTATGGTCGATATGGAATACACTTAAATGCGAGCACTGGCATGTATTAGATGTGAAATCGATTCGGAATAAGAATTAAGCTGCAATTGAACATGTTAATCATGGCTATTTGATGATCTCAAGTGCGGAAGAATAGAAGGAATTCATTAAAATTATTATACGTCGAATTTAGGAAGATAAACCCTTTGTAATCAAACCCTTTTGGTTCTGTGCTCTCATTACACGACGTGTCGTGTGATTGGCAACCATGGCAATAGACAGAGCTTGTCATATAAGCTGACGTTGGTAATTTGATGAAATAAAATGCGTATATTTATGAGCTCATCATCATAATGACTTTATGAATAACTTATTTTTATTTATTTTTTAGATATGTGTATTATATAAATAATATTAATACAAATATTGGCTCATATATAATTAGCTATGTAATACTAAAACAAAATATAAATTACTATATTGTTTTTAGCACATTGAATTGCAGACTATACTAGAATTTCCCTGCCCATTTGTTGTTTATTTTCATTGATTTTAAATAAATTAATTAGATATAGCTCTCTGGTGCTCACTAGATGTTGTAGCTCGGTCAGCTGGTTCTTGGACAAATCTGAGCATCCTTCATCTACATACATGATGATACTCAGAGCGAAAACAGAAGTCCTCAATAAGTAGTTGTAAGCTCAACAGAAACTATTGCAATCCAAATATCAAATTAACTAAGGAACTGCAGAGCATCATTAATATACTATTTTACCCATAGCTCTTACTCCAGGCATGTAAATATGTCCATTATCCAATTGCAATTAATAGTAGTTTCATCACATACTTGAAATCATTTCTTAATTGCTTTTAACTGAAATAAAACTTTATCAAGTCTAACTCTTGAAATTCGGACTACAATTGAATCTGACTGTTTTACTCAGCCTTGTCATGTCGCATGAGAAATATATTTGGAATGGTAAACGCGCTTTGCAGATGCAGTTGCCGGCTGGAAAATAGTGAAATTGTCGCCTGAGTAACCCTTCTCATGTATTTGCCAAGTGGGAGGGGCGGAGTGGCGGGGGCCGTGTGCCGTTGGGGCAATGGTAAAACTTTTGTAATGAGAAAAGTTAGAAAAGAAAGAAACCGTCGACAGATTTGAGTTCCATCATAAAGGGCGGGGCATGTTAATTCCGACTAAGAAATTCAGAGCAGGCATTGCTTTGTAGCACATACAACAAGTTCAACAGAAAAGTAACGACAGAAGTTTAAATGGATCAGCGTTTACAGCGTCGTCGCCGGGCACCAAGAAAGAAACACAAAACCGGGTAGGTAATGGCACTACCAGCATCTAAATAACCTGAGCACTGTGCTCCCAGATTAGCCAAGCTGCTGCCAGATCTGTCGCCCAATTTGCGCAGCACCGCCAAGTACACGCACCTGCTCTGGAATCAGCTGATGAGCCTGCTGCTGCCGCTGGTGCGCTTCGTCAAGGAGACGTTGCGTGTGATCAAGCGCTACAAGAAACCGGATCTCCAGGAGTTCCAGCGCTCCGTGCTGGCCATCACAATCGGCTTCCTCATAATGGGCTTCCTCGGCTTCATTATCAAGCTGCTGTACATACCAATCACTAATATTATTATGGGCTAACCTGGGGGTCGGCAGCCGTTGTTGTTGTTGTTGCTGCTGTAGATATAAAAATAAAGTTTCAATTCAATTGGCAGCAGACAAAGACTTCTTCGACTTGGCCTGCTGGCGCGCGGCCAACCAGGCTACGCTACAAATAGCCAGGGCAGGCAGCTCCGTGCCAAAGTCTCACCTCGCCTCGCCTCGCCTCGCTTCGGCTCGCCTCGGTTCGCATGCCAACTGTATGGCTGTCATGGCAAAGCCAAGCTACAACAAGCTGCTATTGTTGTCGCTGACCCTCGACACCGACCCCGACCCCGACACCAACTCCTTTCCTGATCTCGGTTCAGAGCGTGTTATTTAACTCTCTCTCTCGCTCTCTCTCAGGTCATTGCAAGTGTTGACAAGAAAATTTCGCCGCGCACTTTCGAGGAAAACAGTTGCCTTTGCCAAACCAGAAAACTGTCGGATGTGTGTAAATGTAATCAAATCAGCAGCTCGCCAAGCAGCGCACTTGAGAGGCTTGCGAGGCCGAGGCGATATGGCTATATTTCATATACCCAGCGAAGTGTGGGGCAGTGCGCCTTTAAGTGCCCTTAATTTTAAATTATATAAAAAATATTATATATGTACTTATAAATATATATTTAATATTTATCACTCTATAAATTCATATATATTTTATAAACTGATAAATTCAATTTATTTGTATTTATTTCACATTTTCCCATACAAATTTGAATTGTAATTGTCGGCTTGCTGATGCGCCTCACCGAGCTCAACTGAGTTTTTATTTGCGATTTTTGAACTCAAATCGAATGAAAATATTTTGTTGTGTGTTTGGCTATGCGAAACTTAATTAAATTAGTATTTAGCTAACGGATATTAGTGTGGCATGCGTTACACATTTTTAAATTGCAAATGATTTCATTTTTTATTCGATTAATTTTTTATGCTGTAAAAGAAAACCAATTCAAATTAAATTAAAACAAATATTTATACATATACATATTTTTGTCGAACATTTTTATATTTTATATATATACATGTTAGCTATATATATATTTTATAAACCTAGCATGTGCTATTGGTGGCCAAGTCCACAGGCAGGAGCAGCTGGTGGCCTCGGTCTTTGATGCCTCCACATCCTTTAGCCAGTTGCATGCGCATTGTCGCATGTGTCTCCATTTGCTGCTGTTATGTTTTATTGATGAGTCTCTCAAACCAAAATTGATGATGCCTTGGATGCGACATCATCGTTCTTTGTGCCTGCCCCTTCGCTCTTCTCTCAACCAGTCTGCTCTGCTATCTCTCTTCCTTTGGTTTCCGCGTCGTCCACGAAATCGATGCGCTGCCAGTCAACAAAGTTAGTTTGTTTCAGTTGGCGTTGTTTTTGTTGCTGCTGTTGCTGTTGTTGGTGTTGTTGGTGTTGCAACTATTGCCGCTGGCAAATGGCGCAAATTTATTCAAAACTTTTGCTGTTGCAGCCACAGTTGCAGGGACGCCTTATGCTTTAAATCACTTTATGCAACAGGCGACAAAGCAGCTCAAAATATCAACTTGCTGAACGGCGAACAGCGAGCGTGTTGTGCCGCAGCAAAGCACCTGAGCTGCTTGAAATAGACACACACACACACACATACATACTAGTACGCACGTCCATATGCGATGCACTAAAAAGTAGCTCCCACCTTTCGAGGTTATGAAGTCACTTAAGCAAAGGGAAAACGTGCCTGCCCCACGGGCGTTGGCTAAAGGATAAGATAAAATACAGAAAAAAGGAAACAGAAGAAGAAATGTGGAAACTAAGCAACAGAATAACTGTATAAAGTAGTCAAAGGGAAAGTCTAAAAGTCAGCTACACACGGCGACACAGCTTGCCCACCTGCACGGCCTCTGCAATTGAGTTACTTATCTTACACTTTTTTAAGCCTCACACAACAACAGAGGGCAAGAGCGGCTGAGTGCCCCGGTTTGGGTATGCCTGAAATTTATTGGGCCCTACCACATTATATTATTGTGAGTGCCCGAAAAGCTTCAGGGAGTCATTTGAGAACATTTATACATAAATATAAAAGAGTTTGCTGAGCATAAGGATAATAGAATTTAGGTAAGATAAATTTCATTCTTATTCGATGAATTTGAATGTCTTTTTTACTACGATTATATATCAATTGTGTATTTATATATATTTAAAAATTAGTAGAAAATTTCGCTGTAAATATATTCATTTTTTTCTAAAAATAAGTTTTTAAAATATATTTATCTAAATATTATAATTTGGGCTATGTACATGTAAACATATTTTTTTAGATTTCTTCTTCTTTTATATATTTATACATCTAATTCATAAAATTCTATTTTTTCGTGTATTGAATTTCTATTTTATAAATTAAATATGCACGAAAACGATTTTTTTTCTTTAATTTATTATATATTCATTTTATTTTTTTTATGTTTATATTTTTTTTTTACTTACTGTTTTTAAATGAATTTTTTTTTTTAATAAATTAAACTCTAAAATAATAAAAAAATTATTTTTATAACTTGTTTATTATTTATATATTTTTAAAAGATTATTATATTATTATTAGATTATTATATTTTATTGGATTATTATATTTTCACTAATTCTTATTCATCATACATTAAATTAATTCTTATTAATAATTTATTTATTTATTTTTATGATTCAGCTCTTATATAATTAATGTTTACATCTATGTTATATTCTAGTACATTCTCCAGAAATATAATCTTGAACATCAATTAGGTATTTGATTTGTGTGTTCAATTACATTTTCATTCGAATTCTTATTTAAATTGTTCTATTCAATCAAGAATGCCTTTGGTACATTTTTTTGTCACTTGATTTCTTGAAGAGCATGGCAAGTTCGTTGAGTCAAGAATGCCTCTTGATTTCGGATATTTGAGTTCTTCTTTGGCTGCGTTTTAATTAAAAGTGAAGTGCGGCCATTAATTTGCAACTACAAATTACACTCAATAAAACATGGCTAGTGCACTGATTTTTCGGCACACACACACACACACACACACTCAAAATTTGCCAGCCACATGGCAGAGTGTGTGTATCCGTGTACGTGTGTGTGCCTGTGTTCCTTTGTGTGCGAGTGTGTGTGCCTTGCTGGCAATCAATTTGCACTTTGACTACAATTACTGATTTTCGACACTTCAAAGGATTTTATAAATTGCCATTTGTGCACCCCCTCAACAAAAAAAAAAAAAAAAAAAAAAGAAAAAAGGAAAGGGGAGCTCCAACCTAGCTCCATTCAAAACTACGCCCATTGCTGCTGTTACTCCTGCTGCTGCTGCTGCCGCTCCGACTTTGGCAATTTGTTTTGGCCATTTACTTTGCCAGCCTTCACACATGTGTTTCAGCTCTTGTTGCCATTGCCTTTCTTCTCTCTCGCTCTCGCTCTCTCTCATTCTTTTTTTGTTGTTGTTGATTGCGCCTGCCGAGTACAACTTTAATTAAGTCAGTGTGCGAGTCCTCTGGCAAGTTGAAAGTGTGTTCGCTGTGGGGCGTGGCACATAAATTGGCTGCACATTTAGCAGGCTTCATTTTTTGTTCGTCTTCGTTTCTTTTTCTGCTAGGGCACCAATAGATCATAGTTCATAGCACACAGATTATCCATGAATTTCTTCTGCTCAATTGTTGCAAATGATGGATCTTCAATAGGGTAAAGTTTACTAATATTCGAAATTTAATCTAATACTTAAACTGCGCTTGCTGCCACAATCCAATTAACCTTTTGACATTTGCGACAGGCAGCAGATGCAGCGGCTACTTTTGGCTAATGGCTGCGCGTAAATCAAACACAACACAAGCACACAAAAATACAAAAGCAACTGCTACTGCACTAAGCCGCATGTGCAACATGTGTCTTCTGGCTTGTTAGCACCAATGATCTTTTGTGGATCGTGTGCACATCTTGTTGACCATGTGCCTCTGACATCTCGTTGCCCAAACGGAACTGAGCTCAACTCAATGCAACGTAACTCAGTTCAGCTCAAGTCAAGTCGAGTCAACTTAACTGAGAAAGTTGTCTTGGCAGAGCAGCTCATAAAGAATTCATAAAATATATTTTGAAACTACTTAATGACTACAGCTACAAATACTAAATAGCAAATATAAAAATAATTCTGTCTCTAAATCAAGTCTCTAGCTCTCATATCTACTGAAATCGACGCGCTCGAACATACGGACAGACATTCGCCCGAAACCTTATAACTCCATGCCTATTTTTGAATGCAAACTGATACTACGGATAAATACGCGTCTAACAAGGCATTCCACTCGAAAATCGGATGAAAAGTCCACAA